CATAAAATATGTGGTTAAAATTAATTTTTGACTTTGCCTTGAAATTTTAATTGAAATTTAATCCAAACCAAACATGTTATATGTGCATTGCTACCTGGACATAAAGAATTTACAGTGTTACTGCTCTATGCTATACATTTGCTTAAACAGCTACGGCATATAGCATAAAATTACAATCTAATACATCTTCATTGCTTCCAACTTACAGTATTCAATAAAATGTAGACTAATCAAATGTTTTCACTTAGATACTGATGTTAACAAGTTCTAAATTCTGCACATGACCCACCTTTCGCAACATAACCATCAGGAAGTGGAGTTCGTTCCTCTTTGCTTCAGGCAAAACTTGTGCGGTTGCACCAACATTACTCCTATAATTTTTTGGTCACTTACGTACAGAATCAGGATGGCAGAAAGTTTGGCAACACATTAATCCTTACTATTTTTCACTTCAACAACTTTTATAGTATTCAGAGATTTTTAAATGAATTCAATATGAAGCTCAAATCTGGAGCAATCACAAGTAAAGACAAAGTTACTTCAGTTACGAGATATATCCATCCCAGCTTCTAGTCGATTTTGGCTCTAATAGTGAAACTAATCTGCTAACCATAAGTTGTGAAATTACTAACGAAAATGAGGACACCTAATTCTCAGAAAGTAGAGGGTCCAGACTATGTTCTTCTACAAGTTCCTCCACAGTGTCAAGAACAGTTCCAGCCTGCAAAAAGACAAACACACAACTCTGGTGAACAGCCAAAATCTTTTCAATTACAACAATGTGTATTGGGATCTAAAACCTAAAGTAATCCCATCTTTTATGGTAAAAAAAAAATTAGAACTTTGGGGGCAAAATTCAAGAGAATAAAATGATATTTTAGAGATCATACCTGTGTCTCAAGACATATAGACTCAAACTCTTCCTGCAAGATTTTTACAAAAACGAGTCACAATAACATTTATTTCTTTGTAATTTAATAAAATAAAATTTCAAGACCAATTCCCGTCAAGAAATCCAGGTGTTTTTTAAGGTATATTCTGATGCGATGAAGCTTGAGACTAAATCTGGAAGTATGACAAAGCTGATTGAAATATATCTGAAGAGATAACAACTATAACTAAATTGGGAGGAAAAAGGCTTCTGACATAAGAAGCTCATCCATATCACCCACAAGAAACATTTTAGCACATTTAGCATCACGAGTTTTATCTCAAATAAAAGAAAGCACGTCAAGTCCAAAGCACTGTCAGCAAGTGCCATAGTTTTACATATTCAAGAAGTTCATTGCACTCGAATGCAGAAGCCTGTACTTCTTTCAAGGCCTCATCTACGAAGATAAACAAACAATAAAGCTCTTGAGAAAAAAAAGTGCAAATACAATCACAAATGGCAAAGATGGCATGGAAAAATCGAAAACATAAACTAATCAAAGTCATATATACACGTGATGTGGAATAGGTGAGACCATCAAATCAAGAAATTATTTGGATGGGACAGCATCCTGAAATATCTATTAAGCCCCCATTTGGGCTACCTTATTTTCTCATTAAAATGAAAACCATGACCGTTATCCATCTTATCAACATTTAAATTCAAATTTTCTATCTCTTGTGTGGGCCCAATAACGACTATATTTTTCATTCTCATTCTACAAAAAGATGGCTCAAACAAGGCCTAAGAGCATGTTCGAGTGACAGTGGGAGTGTCACACCTTGGAGAAGGATAATATGAATTAGGCTCAATGGCTTTCAAAGACTACACTAAAAGTAATAATGACTTGAACGAGGAGAAACTAACTAGTCCAGGTCTATCATCACCAAATTGTGGACAGAGTTGGACTTAAAACAAGGTTTCAATAATCTCTCGCTTACCCTATTGCTCTCAGCAATCATTTTCTGATCACTAGACTTGGATGATCAAATGGGAAAAGTTAATCAGAATTGATCACACATTGTCACAAATAACAACAAAAACAGAACAGAACATAGAATGACGGGTTTGGAGAAAAATAGACTCCCTTATCACACTAAAAGAACTTCATTTTGAAGTCCTACTGTTTAAGGAACATGCATCCATTGCGTGTCTTCCATTTAGTTAACATTCATCTACTACAACACCATCACATGAAAAGACTAATTACAATTTATGGTTTTGTAAAATCCCAATGAAAGAATAGTATAGAGATAATATTGGAAAGATTAATCAATATTGTAAAATGATGTTATTTTGGGGCGTCCCAAAATGGAAATTGTGGAATAATGATGAGATAGAGGGAATAGTATAACATTATCCATCAAGATCAAGTACAGATAAAATGTCGAAAAATAAATTTTGATACACTTCAGATATATTAAACATGTCACTAAATGTTCCACTAATTGGACTCATTCTCACTTGTTGTGAAGTAGATTAGAAAAGATAATCGTAATGTCTATGGACCAGGAAAATAAATTAGTACTTCCACAGTTTCAAACTCATGGGAGATACTAAGTTGACAGTTCTTAGCCTAAGCTGCATATCAAGTCAATTTCAAGGCCTGTTCAAAGTTACTCTCTTTATTCACTGTTGTATCTTTCAACAGCGCACCATGGTCAAAGTCTAGTGACTTGGTAATGGATAGCTTAACTCATGGCACACTCGGTTGTTGAAACTGAGATGAAGAACATCAGAACCACCTAGTAAATGAGGAACACTGGATTTGTTGGTTAATACGAAAGGAAAAAGCAATCTAAAAGTTAGTAATAATAGATCAAGAAATAGCGGTAAACCCATATATTAACAATACAAAAACCACAGAATTGTTCAATTTATAAATAGTGCAGAGACATAATTTTGTGCAAAGAAAGGCTCCATACACAGTACAAATTGCATACCTCTATATCTTCATGCAAAGAATTGATCACCTGAAAAGTAAAAATGTTTAGCGCTGTGATAGTTCAAATTCAAACAATAAGAAAAAACTGTATTCATGTCCAAATCTCTTTAGCTTTTTATCTAAACTTTTAACTGAGGAAATACCAAGTGCCAAGGATGGCATTTCCTAGTGTTAGGTTCCCATAAATGACAACGGTAAAACAACAGTATGGGAAAAATCATACAAAGAGACATATTCTCCTGTGGTGCTTTCAACAAACAAAAAACAACAAGGTTATAAAATTCTTTCATTTACAACGTTCTTCAACTGGATTATAAATAATAAATAAAATTCTAAATGCAAGCAAACAATAAAAAAATGCAAGGAAGTTCATTTTTCACATTATTTTTTATTTTCCTTTATTATAGTGTTCCTACATCCATTTCCACAATGAAGAACAAGTCACATCCCTAAGGAAATACTTTTAAGCATCAGATGTCATAACTTGATTATAAGAACCAAAACAGCCTCTAATATCAGTATGCCCATTTCCACTTCAACATGTTTGGCTAAGCTTAAAATTTCACTTAGTAAGTAAATAAATTTTAACGATAGAAAAAAAAAAAATTATCCGTGAAAGCTAAAAATAATGAAGTTAGACAATTTTTTAGGCTTAGCCAAACGTGCTCTTAAAATAGATTTTATATTTAATCAAATGGAAATTTTAAAAAATACAGCCCCAATCGGAAAAAACTAAGCAAGCATTGATATATCGTACCTGAATGGACAGCCGATGGAGGCGTTCGTGCTCTGCAGCAGTAAAACTCGGAAAAGATTTGCAAAATTCCTGTGAGTTATCAAAGGAAAAAAAAATGAAAAACGGAAACTGATTCAACTGAATTAAAAACACTAATATTATTAAATTAACCTCTTTGGCACAAGCAGTTAATAAGGAATGCAAGGCACGCTTGAATGATTTCTTCAGATTCAATGGCCTAGATCCTGTAATTGATGAGTTCATTTCACTATCTTTATGCATCATTTTTTTTTTCCTCTCTTTTCTCATTTATGAGAAAAGAATGAGAAAAGAGAGTGTGTGTATCAATTTGAGAAAGAGACAGAGAGAGGCGGGAAATTATTAGCGGATTTTCTACTTTTGGATCAATGGATCATTTGATAATTAACTTTTGGTTTTGTTTAATTTCGTAAATTGAAATTTCCAATTTGTATATCTGAAAGAGGTTCAAAGGATGGGAGATGCAGATTCAACTGGTGGTTGTCTAGACATTGATCTGGAAAGATACATCGATCTGAGAAAATACTTGGTGATCTCTGGAGCTGTTAATGCTTTTCTTTTGCTAGATGTGTTCAATTTATAAATAGTGCAGAGATATAATTTTGTGCAAAGAAAGGCTCAATACACAGTACAAATTGCATACCTCTATATCTTCATGCAAAGAATTGATCACCTGAAAAGTAAAAATGTTGGTGGTTGTCTAGACATTGATCTGGAAAGATACATCGATCTGAGAAAATACTTGGTGATCTCTGGAGCTGTTAATGCTTTTCTTTTGCTAGATGATGAAATTGGGAAGTTTAAGAAACTAGTCTTTGATGAAATTCAATGTGAAGTTTTGTTTCATTTACTTTAGTTTGTAGATCTGGATAACAATAACCTCTATATACATGAAAATGAAAATTTTGTTGGAAGAATAGAGTAATTTCAATTATTGGATTTCTGGTTGATGCATGGCCAAATTTTTGAGTTTTGAGAACTATAAAAATTTCAATTATTCCTCTGTCAACTTACATCTTTTGATTTAATTTGAATATTTAAGAGTTACATTGTTCCAACACTGTTTGCTCCCCAATGGTCACCAGTTCGAGTCCTCTCAGAGCCACTGAGGTGAGTATCCGGTCGTAAACTTCAGGATTTCGTGGAATTAGTCGAGGTGCGCGCAAGTTAGCCCGAGCATCTACGGTCATCAAAAAAAAAAAAAAAAATTTGTTCCAGCACTATCTTGATGCAACATTTTCATACTCCAGCCTTTCCAACAGTGCTCTAAATTGATTTTGATGATTGTTGATTGATTACAGAAAGGATTGCCAAATTGTTTTCATCCTTGTTTTGGACTACCATCAGCAATGTTGGTACCAGGTGCTTCAGGTGATATACCCTCTCATTTTCTATTCCCTTCCCAGAAAATTGCTTCTATTTTTACTCCTCCAAATAAGGTTAAAATACCATCTCAAATTTCATCGCTTTCCCATCTTTCTATTTCCTCCTCACTTTGCCCTGCGAAGACATTTTTCAAGTCGATCACTTCTGCAAACCCACTTCAAAACCCACTTACTCTAAATCCCCTTCGGCTCTCTGAGCGCCATCAAATGCTGCCGCCCTCCGCCGCGCTTCCATTATTTGGTTCCGAAATGACCTCCGGGTACATGACAATGAGTGCCTTACTTTCTGCCCATAACGATTCAATGTATGTGCTTTCAATTTACTGCTTCGACCCACGGGATTACGGGAAATCGTCATCGGGATTTGATTAATTGTTACAGAGAGGAGGGGGGATTTTTTATTTTTCAAAATAATTTTTAAAAATGACAAAAAGAATAAGTTTTCAATAATCTCAAAATGGACACTCAAAACATAAATCCCAAAATAAACTCAAAACTAAAAAAACACGAAGAGAACAACCCTAAGTTTTTGAAAAAAGGGGGTCAAGCATAGGCATAAATCCATAGCCTTATTTCACATCTTGAGTTTGATGATATCCATGTTAACCCATGTTTGTAGTATGATAGTAAATTCAAAACAATATCGTTACACTTAATATAAAAGAGGCAAATCTTTGGTTCACTATTCATTCTTCTGCCCTTGAGGAAGCAAGGGAACATAGATAAGATGAGACGAGCAGGCATGTGGCAAAATTGAGCTAAAGATGAGACTACTATGTACTCTGGATATTTTCATATTGACTTTTTTCTTTTCATTCCGCTTAGTTATATGCTTGTACCTATAGTATTGTTCATTTCGTAACTTCATCCGCTTATATTTATTTCTTACTTTTCTTTTGTAAATATTTTTCTATTTCTTAACAATAACAATCCTAAGACACATATTTGTTATGACTGAGTTCTCCCGAAATCAGAGCTATTCCTAAAGATTTTTAGTGACATTCTATTTTGATTTATAAAAGTAGAAGGAAGCCAAAAAAAAAAAGTATATGTCCATCGTGGTGGTGGGGGGTTGTTAAAAACTGACAAAGTAATGGAAAGCTTAGGAGAGGCTGAAATTTGCAACTGAAGATTTCCCTGCGTGACCTTGTGGAAGGTTTGGATTATCTCATCTTCTTAATGGCACGAAACGCATCTCGTTAGACTTATCTTTTCCTTTCCCCTTTTCCATGTGTTAGAAGAGGTTTCGTTACATAAACATATATTAAACTGAAATGTTACAGACGATTAGTTGGATATGGAAACGGAAAGTAGGGCTGTTTTCCGTTTTAAATTTATATATCATCCTCTGACATTCGAGTCGTTCAATTGGAGACACGGTACCTTAAACTATGATTATTCATGATGTCCATATTAATGATATGGTGCTTTAGACCATTTTTTACCTTAAACAATTCAAAGCACATTTCTCAGTTCGCCTTGATGTTTTGCCAGCATCTCTTGTTGTTCTCTTCTTCATTTTCATAATCCCTCCATTTCTGGAATTTTCAATCCCACAATAGTTTGACAGTCTTGGGGAGAGATTTACAGCTCTGATTTCTGGTAACTTTATATTCTGTATTTTCTTGTACATTAAAGTAAGTGTTCATAATACGTCGTTCTATTAATTTCTCCTTATTTTCAAGAATGTATGAGAATTTCTCAGTGGCCATGTATTGAAGGGACATGTTGCACCAGCTTCATCTAATCGTGGTTCATCTAGAAAAATAACAATTCACTTCTATTGGGTGAATTACTTTCTCTCAGTTTTATTGGCTATAAACCTGAATGGGAAAAGAAAACTAATGAATAAAAATGCTTTTCGGATCTTGAAATTCTTTCCTACTTGTCATGTTTGCATTTTCCCATTTTCCTTGTTATTTTAGCTGTTTATTTTAAGCTAATTTCAGTATTTGATGTTACTCCTTTTTGTAATTTTATCTAATCTATATTCCTTTACATTTTAGTCATTTCCTTTTTCACGTTTGCTAAGGAATGCAGACGAGATGATGGTACCGAGTTTGATATTCATGTGGCCGATCTGAAGTTGGAACAATTCCATGAAGTCATTGCTGCCTCTGCTATATTTGGTACTAATGGATCTCTGAAAAATGCTAACGTATTTTGTGATGTTTCTTCATACACTTTGCTTGTTTCTTGATTGTTTTTTGTCCGACTTCCTTGTATATCAATTTAATACTCTTTTTACTTTTTAGAAACTCATTTAACGCCCATCTCTCATAAATTTTTAATATTTGACATACTAACATTATCTTAAAAAATAGGCAATCGGTACATTGCATGGCCATAAAACTAGTATTCTATAAAAAATTCGAAAAGCTCATAAATTGGGTCCATGGACTGAGCCTGGCCCCTTGGTCGATGTGCCGAGGTCAGATGGCTCTGTTCCACCATTTCCACCACTGGACAATTTGAGGAGTAAAAATCTTGAATAGTTTGTCTTTATTTTTCAGTTGAAATCCCTCTCTCCCAAAAACTGAAGTGTAAATTATTTTTTCCATGAGCAAATAAAGACGTGCACATCTTTAGTAGAACAAGTCTACTAAAAATTTGACCCAGAATCAAATTTAACAAGCTTTAGATATTATTGTTCACGGTTTTAAAAAAATGGCTCCAAGAACGAGACAAGAGAGAGAGAGAGAGAGAGAGAGGGAGAGAGAAGGTCAAGTTACATGCATGGAAATCACAAGAGAGTTTTAAAAATGCAAACAGGCCTGCAATAGAATTCCTTAGCAGTGCAAATGTGCTATGTGGTTCTTTCAATAGTATCCCTTTGTGCAAAACATGCACAGAAAGTGCTATGTGGTTCAAAGTACCCCGATCATCTTACACATTCAGTGTATTTCTACATACACAATATTTCCTGCAAAAAGATAACACAATGTTTTCTACATATACAAAACAACACAATGTTTTACTGCCACATAAGGGCGCGGCTTGCTGCACTCCTATCTCAGTCCTCCAAATTTCCCTCGGTGTGTATCGTGACTAGTCTCGTCGGACCAAAATCATCGTCTCTTAGCCAGTCCCTTGGAAAAAAACAATATTTCAATCGAACAATGATGATACTCGAGAATATCCCAAATCAAGCAGGATATGAAATATCCATTCAACAAAATTCTAGCCGAGCAAATCCTTGAATAAGTTAGGATTCTGACCGGATGGGGTCACACCCACTTGCCTTACAAGTGCATCCTTCTCCAAAAATTCTTCAATGTTGGGTCCCTTGCTCGGTTGTTTTGTCAGATGTGCTATTGTCGCATTTGGAGGTGGGTTTGCAACAGTAGCACTCCGGTCACTCGAAGACATGTCTGCATAGAGAGACATAAGATCAGGTGCATTAGGCACACTAACTCCACTGGAACTTAGATTGAATGTGTCTTGTGTTAGATCGAGAAGACCTTCCAATTGCTTGAAAGGATCTACAAACGGTGCACTAGTAGTAACTGTTGGTTCACCCAAGTCTAGCAAGTCTGGAGGTGGTTGGGATCTTGGTTTTATAATATCAGATGAACTTGCAGCCTTGGCTAAATTATCCTTGTGTGCACCATGATTGTTAGTCTTCAAAACCTTCTGGCCAGAATGAGATAGTTTTCTGTCGGATTTTGATGCTCCTCCAAAAAGAGAAGCGGCCAATTTCTGTTTTTCAGATGAAACCTCAGGTTGCTGCTTCCTTGAATCATAAGAGACATCGTGTACTTTTGACTTTGTACTGCTTACTGACTCATGTCGAGTCGTCCCGTTATTACTTTCAAAGGTATCACTGCTTGAAGTAGATGGTGTGGTAGAGGAGAAAGGACGACCCCATTTTTTTTGAACACCATCAAGTCGTAACTTGAGTTCTGATGACCCTGAACTGGAGACCGTTGGGGAAGATTTAGCAGGTTGGTGAACTTCTGCAACATAATATGGCTCAGGTACAGGAACAAGTTCAGCTGAGGATGATACTACTGATGGAACTTTAGGAGGTACTGAGGGTTTAGGAAGCTCGTAGGCTTCAAACCTAAGAGCATGTGTTGAAGATTCATGATCTTGGGTTCTGAAGTTGCTAATATTTGACAACCCAGAGCGTTCATCCTCTGGAATATATGGCTGAGCTCCCTTTTCCAGTGAATCTTGGGCATAAGCATCAAGAAATGAAAGCTTTTTGTCAATCTGCAAAGATTACAGATGCTACTAGTATTAATAAAATGAACTTATAGCATGAAAATTGTCAACGAGCAACTAATATTATGTGAACAAACGCCAACACAAACTCATAATTTTACATAAACAGAGATATACTATGATACCATGACGAGAAACTAATATCATACTAATATAATCTAGATTGTCTCAAAGACTCGTGATTCGTCCGTGCCAATTTCAAAGAAACAGTAAGACAGAAATATTAATTAAACTGTAATTTAAAAAGTAAATTAATATACCCCAAGCATCATATCCAGTGCCAAGTTTGGGGGGAGCTTGAGTAACTAGGGCTAACGTACAAAATATTTATTATTATTTAATCTTTCTGATAATATCATTTATTCCCTGGGTTTATTGGCGGACACAACTTTTTAGCATTTTGTCTTCTAAAATATAAATGAAATATAGCAAGGGAAAGAGGAAGTGATTGACACAGTGGGACAACTCAAGAAAGAACGATAACAACCAACTTGTAAGTTAGATATTAGTTTAAAAAGGCATTGGATCTTCCTCTGAGCCCACAAATCGTGGCGACATATGCATTTCTGAGTCTAAATTCTTACCAAAATGCCACCAGTTTTGCCAGAATAAAATTATAGGAAGCTGGAGAAATAGATCATCACAGCTTAACTTCAATGAAGAGGCTTTCTCAGATCGTGAGAGTCGTAGCCCTACAGCCAGGATGCAAGCAAACTTGAATTCCTGAAATGCGTTAGTCCGGTATTTCTAATCAAGCCATTTCAAAATGTTGACTGCTAGGGCTTATAGTTCTTGTAATTATATTTTCCTTCTCTCTTCCTATTTCATTTTTCCCAGAAAAGCATGCAAATATCCCCTCATTAGAGAAACTATATTGAAGGTTAAATTTGCCCTTTCTTGCACACAACCTTGATAGACAGAGATCGTTAGAGCTTTATAGTAGTGTCTTCCTGAGCTACAGAAACTTGGCCGGGGGACAAAAAAACACTGACAATATTTGCTACTTTTTATGATTGGATAATTGATATGCGAGGCTTGCAAAAGAAATCAAGTTTTAACTCAACTATGCTAAAATTATCCTAAACTACAGAGATTTTGCAGCAAATCAGGCCAAAATTAAAAGGAAAGAGGTAGAACATTAAGTG